AAGTGTAGCGAGCCAGCTCTTATACTCCTCCCTAGTTATTTGTCCAAGTTTCCACTTCTTATAAGCTTCCTTTTTGGGATTTAGTCTTTAAACCCTTGCCGTATACTTCCTGTATTGTGCAGTTGACTGGTGGATCGCACAGTAAGTGGAAACCGATCACACATGCTAAGTAATTATTACACAATTATTGGGTGCCTTGCACAATAAATGGAGATCAACCACAGGTGCTAAGTAATTACCCTGCCATAACAAAGACTCTCCAGCTATCAGAAAAACCAACCAGCTTTAAAGTTAGTGCCTGGAAAGATGTAACCCCTTCTCTAGCTGGTTTCTCTGCAGCTTTTATCTAAACGGGCCATGACTGTGCACTGCTGCTCCTCTCCCAGTCACATCCATTTAGGCGATTTATTTAGTTTAAAGGAGCTCAGCCGCCAGCCTGAGGACCAGATCCAGCCTCCAGAGCCATGTCATTCAGCCTGTGGGGTTCCCCCAGGGTCTGAAAACTTGGCAGCAGGTGAGCAGTGGCAGTGTTTAATTGCTGCTCCTCTGCCCCCTTATTTCTGAACCTGTGGGGGAGCCCCACTGAGTGGAAGGCTGGATTAGACCATCGTGGGATCAGGCCCACAGACCAAGCCTGCATGGGATCCAGCCTTCCGGAGGCCAGCGCTGCATCAGTCATCCAGCGTAGGGCATCAGGAGTTTGGCCACCACTGGTTTAGCATGTTCACTGTACAGTCATCCTTGAATACCTCTATTCATATTTTTTTCATATCTCCCACATCCAACTCCCAAACTACCATATAAAATAGGTGCAGAGAGACTTTTTTTCTCCTTGGGAAAAACCTGAAGGTGGGGGACAAGCATTCCCAGTTTAAGCTCTCGTTTACAAATATGGTGGTTTAGAGAAAACTGTAGCAGTCATCTGCTCTGTGAATAACTCTTATTCAGAGTCTGAACTGTGCAACAAATTCAGCAAACATGCAGGTTACTTTTAGTCCACACATAATGGGGATATGTGCATGGTCTAGTGGTTCTCAGATGAGGGCCTGTGTTAGTTGCTTATTTTCTCAGCACAAAAAAAATCACCAAAAACTCCCCAGTGTCTAGGAAAGGAGTAGTGAATAAAACTAACACTGGAGTTGCTAAACTGAACAACATGCTTCTGACTGCATAGATCAAGTTACACTTTAGTTCATAACTGAATGGGGTTAAAATAATCAAATTATTAAATAAGGTTACTCAAATCTTATGTTTACATTAGTTTTTAAAAATACATGAATTTGTACGTCCAAATTAAATCTTTCAGAGTATGTTTCCAAATCCTTACTTAGATCTAAATATGTAATGCATACTAGGATTTAACTTGCACGGTCAAAAGTAACTTGGCTATAGGAGGGGTCTAGAATAGGGATAGAACATGGATATCATGAAATCTGAATGAATCCAGCAAAGCACCTAGGCATATGCTTACTGTGAAGTATGTTAGTAGACTTTGGGGCCAGATAGAGCTACATAAATGCTCAACATTAGGCACGCACTTAATTCCTTGTTGGCTCTGAGTTAATATGTATGTGGTCAGCTAACCATGAGGCATGCTAAGGAACCTACATCCATGGGTTCATAAGTTCTCACATGAAATTTTGGCAGATGTTTTGTTTTGGAGGTGTTTCGGGCTGTTTCAACGCCCAAAACGCTGAATCTGAATCGAAGCGGACAGCTCTGAAACATCTCCAGAGTGAAACGAGGCATCTGAAATGTTTTGGAAATGTTTCAGAAAAATTCAGAGTTTCGGAGCTGGGCTTGCAGGGAAACAGCTGTATGTTGCTGCCCAGCTGCACAACTCAGCTTTGCAGGGAGCAGAGATCTGTACCGGGGGTCTCTTTGCTGCTGCTGCTGCTGCTGCCCGCCCCGCACTGCCCCGGCAACACGGGGCTGCTCGGGGTGGGCAGTGGTGGCAGGGAGACCGGCGGTATGGATCTCTGCTCCCTGTGGAGCCAGGTCGTGTGGCAGGGCAGTGTTGGTCCCTGCCACGTGACCTGCAAGAGGACCTTATTTGTGAATAATTCTATTTGTAGAATGCAGGATTAGTTTTATAGTAAATTCTGAGCAGCAAGCTGTTAAAAGACTTTTTTTGTTGTTTTATTTTCGCAGGTAAAGAAACTTGGTATAGTTGCCGTAAGTAAGTATGCAAACTTCATTTTATGTAAATGGGTCAAGACTATAGACTCAAAAGCTAAAAAATGCCAGAATTAAGGTTGCTGGTGCAATATAGTTAAAATGTAACTATCGTACACACACACACGTTAAAATTAGTAAATTTATGCATCTAACTAAAATTTTTCAAAATATCTTTTTAAATTCTAAAAATGTATTGCATTTTTGGTTTTGCATTATAATCTCATTTCACAGATGTTAGAATAACTATAGGTAGAACTGGGATGGAAGTGGGAATTAGTGTTGTCCTACTTAATTCACTCCTCTTGGCTGTATGTATTGTGTTGTAGTCTTTAATCACCTGGCATTTTACTATGTTTTTCTTACTTCATTCACTGCACAGGATAGATAAACTACACCACTGGGGGCCTACCTTTTGTCAGGCATGCCACAAATCAGCCCTGCATCTTCCCCAAGTGCCACTTTGATCCCCTTTCCCTGCCTGATCTGCAGCTCTGCTTTCTTCTTCCTTCTCTGTGCCTGATCTGCTCTTTTGCTTTCTGCTTCCTGCCTTATCTGCTAATGTACTCCCTGTTCCCTCCCTGATCTGCTGTGTGCCACACGGGCTGCCCGTATCACTTGTGGCACCCATGTTACAGATTGGCCACCCCTAAGCTAAAGAATTAATTAGGTTTGTGAAATAAGCAAGGCTGTTAACTGAAGCAGAAATCGTACAGATAGAGAAGTTTGAAGGTTCATAATGAAGGGGAGAGGGGATTTCAAGAAGAGAAGAAGTGATTTTTTTTTTTTTTTTTTAACTAAGGTAGCTGAGTGCTGTGGTAATGGTGGTTCTGCCTTCTCTTTATGTAATGTCCTAGCAGTTAAAGCATTTGTGTGAGTGGTTGAAGACCTGGGTTTAGTTATGTGACCAGTATAACGGGGTTCATATGCTTGTTTTCCACATCCTAGGAGAATGTCTTAGACGCTGTTAGGTCAGAGTCACACTCTTCTTCTGTCCTGCTCAAGTTGTATTCTTTAACAGGAAAGAATACAAGACTCACTCAGCCAGGGAATTCACAGAATGAGAGAATAAATTTGTGGGGAAAACATCCCTTTTCTTGATAAAGGCTATCATATTGCATTGCCACAAGGGAGCTGAAATAAAGTTCCACAAGCAGCTTTAGTTCTGACATTTTAGTGCTTTACTGTGCAACCTAAACATTGTCTTTTTTTCCTGTAATTTTCTTGCTGGGGTAAAAAGAAAAAAAATTGAGAGCAGATTATATATTACCTAACCCAGGGGTAGGCAAAATATGACTCTCAGGCTGGATTTGGCCTGCTAAGGGGTTTTGTCTGGCCCATGGTGAGTTACACCACCCTGCCTTCTCAGATGCAGGGGCAGCCCTGGTGGTGGCGCATGTGCTAGTCCTGCTGCTCCTGAGTGCGCAACACGGTTGGGGCAGCATGGCAGCCAAACTCCATTTCTCAGCAGTCTTAGCAGTGGTGGCTCCTTTTGGCTGCTACTGCTGGCCCTGGCCCCACTGCCTGGGCTCCCCAGCTCATCTGCCATGCACCCACTGGGAGTTGGGACTCACGTGGGTAGTGCACTTGGCCCAGCAGGTGGGATGAGGCCATGGGCCAGCGGGAGCAGCATCCAGGAATAAGATGGGTGGGTGGGGCTGGCGGGATCTTGGGGCAATGATGGGCCCAGGCCCGGGCCCGGGGCAGAGCTGTAATCTGCTGCCTGCATGCTTGGAGCCTCCAGCTGCTACTGCATCAAAAGCAGTGAGGGGAGTGGCAGGTGCCCGCTGGCTGTATGTTAGTCCCTCACAGGCTGCCAGTTGAACAGCCCTGCTTTAACTTACAGGCCATATATTTCTTGACTTTTTATTTCTGGGAAAACACTTCTCATACTTAATCCATGTTTTGCACAAAGATTTTATCTTTTATCTGTTTTCTTGTGAACTTGCCATATTTCACAACTCCTCTTTTATTGGAAGGTTGTAATCCTGATTGTGTTAATAAATTAAATGCCCTTTTTATCATGAACTTTGAGCTTTCCCCTTTCTCATTTATAGGTAATGCTTTATTGCAAGACATTACTTGTTTGGCAGCAGACAGAATGCTGGTCTTTGCTTCATATGGCAGTCTTCTCCATGCTTTTGCTCGGAACAAAGAGGTTTTTATCTTTTTATTTATTTCTAATAATACATTATAGCTGTTTAGTTATGGTTTTTCTAAGTTAAATCACTAGTTTGTACCCACAACTGTTAAATCTTACAAATTTTAGACACAACAATCTCAATAATGGTAATAAGAAAGATGTAAAAATAAATTCTACCTTGGGTGGACTTGTAACCATGTGCTATATGGCTAAGAAATGCTCTTCAGAAATCAAAAGTTAAAGCACAGTGGAAAAAGATTTTTCCCCCAATACACTATCTTATCCTAAAGGAAGCTATCTTACATAAAACTTGGAAAATAGATACTTTTAGTAAATAGACATTCCTATAAAGTTGCACATATCGACAAATATATATTAACCAGAATGCATTTTTCTTCAAGTAATGTATTAAAAACAGAAGAATGTCCAAATAAGTTTTATTGAAAAATGTGTACTTTGAAATTGCAGGTAGTTCACATATATGAAGGCCATAAAGCAGACATTCACCTTCTGCAGCCCTTTGGCGATCATGTTATTTCTGTGGATGTTGATAATGTTCTTATTGTTTGGGATGTACAGTCAGAAGGTGAGAGACTATTTTTTACTCTGTTTCTGTCCAAACAGTGTCCACACGATGGTTTAATTTTACTGTCAGTAATATAGGTACCTTAAAGTTGAAGTGTTGATCCTGCAGTAGGCATTTTGAATGGACTGCTACCCCTACACAGAGATACACTGGCTTCAGTGGGGACCATAAGGGGGCAGAGGTCCATTCATGTAGAGCTTATGTCTTTTGTTATCATTTCTTTTTTGTGGAGGCTCTGGTAAAACACCTTTGGTGTAATGAACCTTCAAAAAATTGTCTTAATACCTATTGTGCTGCGTGTAGCCTGAAGACTGTTTTGTTTGATCTCAGCAAAAGGAAAAGATTAAGAGCCACAAACACTCTGTTAGTTTTCTTTTAGCATCCTTTAGCCTGTTACTTGGAAGAGATGTTCTGCTTAGGAAAAGATAGGGCTCCTTCATAATACCATTCTGCTTTGGGCTGCTTGTGCCAGAGCAACTCTTCAAAATTTTGCCAGCATACCTTGGGCTTTTTAGGACTGGAAAAGAAAAATCAGTTTCGTGGCCTTGTGGCCATGCCCTTTGAACCCCTAGGCTGAGGTCCTATTCCACTTATGTGCCCAAGTGTGATCCTGTTATGTTCTGCTTTTGTAATGCCATCATCTTAGTCTTAAGATAAAGTAACAAAAAACAATGAGCTGGTGGGAGGGCACATCCATTTTTATATTGACTGTTTTGCCAGGACTCACATAAGGTGGTCTGTGATCATGTTTACGTCCAATTAGGTCCTGATAGGATCTGGGTCTTAGCAAATATTCTGCTTTATTGACAGAAGAGTGCTTTTCATAGTTTCATAGTTTCTAGGGTCGGAAGGGA